AAGGGAAAGAGTGGGTTCTTTTTGTTTTTGTTTTTGTTTTGAAACAGTGTAGCCCTGGCTGGCCTGCAGCCTGTTATTTAGATCAGGCTAGCCTGGGACTCTCAGAGTCCTGCCTGCCTCTGCCTCCTGAGTGTTAGGATTGAGGGTGTGCACCTCCACATCAGGTTTAAGTGATGAATCTTGGAAGAAATGCTGGTGTTTCTCGGAAGCCAAGGATAAGAGGGACTGAGGCAGCAGGCAGACAGAGGAGGAAGCTGTGTACGCTCTCTGGCGGGCCATTGGGTAACAGTCATCAGCATTTACCGTGAATCTTTTCAAGCCGGGCATGGCTACGTATGCCTGCAATTCCAGCACTTGGCGGGTCGAGGCAAGGAAACCAGAAATTTAATGCCATCCTTGGCTACATAGGGAGTTTTAACTCAACCACTACACAAGATCTTGTGGGTTTTTTTAAATAATAAAGTAAACAAATACTAAGTAAAGTGAACACATTTATCTGGGCAAGTGTCACATGCCTGCAATCCCAGTACTTTAGAGGCCGCGCAAGATCACTGGAAGTTCTAGTCAGTATGTTTTACATTTGCAGGTTCCAGGCCAGTTAGGACGAATGATAAAACTGTTTCTCAAAAGAAAGACAGAAACAAGCAAACAAACAACAATGAACACTCTCAGCACGGCAATTCTCCAACGAGAATTAATACTTGTGAAGCATATCTATGTGGGCCACGCACAAAGCTCAGAGGTAAAATGCTTGTCTAGCATGCCCAAGGCCTTAGGTTTGATTCCCAGGGATGAAAAGAAGAAAAACGCTATATCCAGATGTGTTTATGTGGACTTCCTCTGTGTTCCTCTTCAAAAGCCAAAATGAAAACAATAAAGCATCAAGGAGGAGTTAAGTGGGCATGTGAGCCGTGGCCAATCAGTTCCAGGGAGCAGGAGAAGAGGAAGGTGGTTCTGTGCAGCCAGTGTGACTGCTGGGAGCACAAAGGTCCTCGCACTCACAGAGAAGCACTAGGGAAACCGGGAATGTTAAACACACAGGGCTGTGTCTTCTGCAGAGGAGATGTATAACCCGTTCTCTACCCAGAAGGCTAGGAATGGAGGTGGCTAACAGCCTAGCTGCTCCCTGTGCTATCTGTATGGCCGGGGGAATCCCCCAAGCTCCCACAACTAGGACCAGAGGTGGCTAATAGCCCAGGTGACCTCTGTGCTGTCTACATGACCAAGGCCACACCAGATCCTCCCCAAGGCCCTTAAGATATTATCTGTAGCCTACCTATAGAACCCACCTCACAGAAGAAGTGACATGTACTTTGAGAAGAGCTTCTATGTAATTGTGCCTCCTTGTGCATATGGAATTGTATTATACCAGGAAACTTTTTTCCAAATTGTACCATATGGAGTCTTTCTCTGTCCTGCCAGCCAGCTCCCAAATAATGACAAGGAGACCTCTTAGTAATCACAAAAGCTCGGCCTTAGCTTAGGCTTGCTTCTAACTAGCTCTTATGACTTAAATTAACCCATTTCTATTCATCTACGTGCTGCTACCTGGCTCATGACTTTTACCCTTTCCTCCTGCATGCCCTGCCTCCTCTGTACCCAGCAGATGACTCTGCCTTTCTTCCCTGTAACCTTTCTATCCACAGAAGTCCCACCCAACCTCCTCCTGCCTACCTCCTGGCCATTCAGCTCTTTATTAAACCAATCACAGTGACACATCTTCACACAGTATAAAGGGATATTTGAAAAGCCACATAGGTATCTAAAGTTAAGCACTGATTAAACAATACACATACATACTATGCTAAGCACATAAATATTAGATTCTTAAAGAAGCACTTACATTTACAAGACAACTCTTGGCAGAGTCAAAAGGGTTAAGTTCTGACTCCATCTCTGCCATTTTCGTGACTTCAGCAAGTGAGATAAACTAAATGGGCCCTGATTTTCCTCCTTTATCTAAGGAATACACTGCACATGATGCTTTTGGTGATGGCAGAGTACCCAACACAGCCACAACACAAAACAAACAACTGTGACCAGTAATGACTGAAGTCATATTAGTCACCCATTACCTTCTAAGACTCGTTAAAACGTTCTAGATCCCCCTCCCAGTATTCTCCTGCCTTAATTGTCAATTCTTCTCATTTTTCTCAACTCCTCTAACTTTTTTTCAACATTGGTACTAATTACCAGTTTTTTGCAAAATAATTAAGCTAGGCACAATGGCACACACCTGAAATCCCAGCATTCTGGGGCCAGAGGCAAGAGGATCTTGGTTCATCTGAGGATAGTATAGGCTACATAGTGTGGGCTTCACAGTGAGTTCAGGTCCAGCCTGAGCTACATAAAGAGGCTCTGTCTTAAAACAAAACAAATGAGATGAGCAAGGTTGCACATACCTTTCATCTTCGAACTCTGGAGGCAGAGGCAGGCAGATTTCTATGAATGTGAAGCCAGTCTGGTCTACACAGTAAGATCCAGGCCAGCCAGAGCAACATGGTGAGACCCTGTCTCGAAACAAATAAAATAAACAGGGCTGAAGAGAAGGCTCATTTAAGAGTGACCTTACAGGGCTGGAGAGATGGCTCAGAGGTTAAGAGCATTGCCTGCTCTTCCAAAGATCCTGAGTTCAATTCCCAGCAACCACATGGTGGCTCACAACCATCTGTAATGAGGTCTGGTGCCCTCTTCTGGCCTGCAGGCATACATGCAGACAGAATATTGTATACATAATAAATTTAAAAAAAAAAGGAGTGACCTTCCAGAGGATCTGGGTTCAATTCCCATTACCCACATGGCCGCTCACAGCTGTCTGTAACCCTAGTTCCAGGGGATCTGACCTCACCCTGACATATATGCAGGCAAAACACCAATAGCTTATAAATAAACACACACACACACACACAAATAAACAAATGCATAACAAAGTCTCCTGTTTTATTATGAGGACTTTAGGAGATGTTTATCACCAGCAATTCATTGGTATTCCCCGTGCATGAGAAAGAAGGGTTCAGGAAAGTCCTGTGGTAGCATTAGCACACCGGCAGAGCCACAGTGTGAAGAAAATGTTTTAAGGGGCTTATATATAACCACCAGCTATTTCTCTGCAACTCTCCACATCCCTGAAAAAAAAAGTGTGGTGGTTTATTAATCCCAAAGAAAAAGTTTGTCCAGCAGATGGGCTAGATTAAGCAGCCACAAACACTGCAGCTCTTTCCTAAAACAGAGTTTGCTTCTCTCTGTATACGGCTCCCATGAGGTTAGACTGTAAAGAAAAAAGCAGCCAGGTGCACAGGCTACTTGAGAAACCGAGATGTGGGTCTCCGGTTTAATTCCAGTCTGTGCTATACAGGAAGACCCTTGCCAGAAAGAGACTAAGAGGAGGGGGCAAGAGGAGAGGGAAGCAAAGGGAAGGAAGAAGAAAAGGGAAGGTAGGTCACATCTCCCCCTCCTCCAGAACTGGGGGGTCTTCAAGTCTGGCACAGAGCAGCTATGCAAGAGCTTTGGGAGACCTAATGACAGGGCTGACTCCCTCTGCAGATCTAACACCTCACAGGGCACTGCCACGGTGGGTGTGCAGGAGCCTGACACCAATCTGTCATTCCTTCAACTCTGATGAAATCTTTAGTATTTCTCAGCAATTTCCCACTTGTTACTGCTGGTGTTTCTCCTCGTTGAAAGTACCCCGGCCTTTTGTTGGTGCTTGTGTGTACCTGAGAGCAGCGTGCTTCACCAGGTCGTATAATAGGAAAAGGGTGGCCACTTCCACTAACTAGATCTTTCCCTATGTCTCTGAATGTCAAAAATCTGGTTTCCTTGAGCAACTAACCTGACCATATAAAAAGGAGAGATGCTGATGTGGAGGACAACCATGTATGTTAGCACTGAGGGGGGAAGCAAGGTGGAGAATTCTGGGTTGTAACCCCAGACACACCAACATGTGGGTATGGCAGCTCTCTGCTCAATAGCCTAGTCTTTTCGCCATGGGAATAAAAGAGCAATACAAACAAAAACGGGGTGGGGGAGGAGATCAAAATTAAAGGATGGGGAATAAAAGAGACCGGAGATCTCTCCAGGCAACTCTCGCTGAGGACATTCTTTCCAGAAATCCAAGAGGGGGAAAAATCCTAAATAACAATCTCAAACTCACAATGACTCAAACCAGGAGTTCCTGTTTTCTGTGTCTGAACAGCAAGAAAAGATAAGCCAGAAAAATGACCATGCAAAGTCACGTTGGATACTGGAGTCCCGAGCGACGGGCACAGGGGAAAAGCAGGGACATTTCCTCTCTTAGGCACAACCCTTCCCTCCCACAAAGACCAAAATCCTACCTAGGATTCTGTAAATTTCCGCTTGTCCATTTCCAGGGACCTAGGCAAGTTCAGAAAACCCACCTGTTATTACTCCCAAATCTCACTGTCACCACCAGGAGCTGGCTCAAAATTGGACTCTAAAAGCAACAATAAAAAGAACTCAAAGTAATTAACTTGATTCTGGACAGAAATAGTTCGATCGACATTATCATGGTTTAGTGGAAAGGGCAGGCCGACTTGTGGGAGTGGGCCCAGCCCCTGGACGTGCCCACCCGGGCTCCACTCTCCCAATGAGCCCAAAGCAGGTACTCCGCGCAAAAACGCACAATGAGATCCAGGTGCGTCACACCACAAAGATCCTAGGCAGGGAGGAAGGGAGCTGCCCTGTGGGTTCACATCCCCAGCTGACCTAAACTGGAAGAATGGGTTGACGCGGACCCCTGGCTCCCGGACCACGGGACTCAAACAAGACAATAGAGCCATCAGAAGAAAATGACAGGAAGAGCTGGAGGAGCCCAGATGCCCTGGAAAGGGACCGGGAAGACGTGCAGAAAGAGCCTGGAGCAGTGACGGGAGAAGGGGGCGTGGAGTGACTCCTGCCTCGGACATCCACTGGCACCGCAGCCACGGGGACAGCTCCCTCCCTCCGCCCGCCTGCCCTCCTCCCGCTCCCGCGTCCCGCACCGTGTTGTAGAACTCGGCGATGGCAGGCACGATGGTGTAGTTGTCCTCGCACCAATCCACCTCCGAGCTGCCAGCCCGCAGGTGGTCCCACCAGTGCGGGTCGCCCATGGCCGCTCTGGAGCATCGGAGCAGCTTCTCCGCCGCGGCGACCGGCCGGAGCGGCTGCGGGGGCACACTGTGCGTCTGCTGCTTTATGCGGTGCGGGACAGCCTCCGGATGAGACGCCTCCCCTCGGGCCTCCCCAGCCGGGCTGCGCCGGCCGGCCACCGCCGCTGCAGACCCGCCCCGGCCCCGCCCCTGGGAGTCCCGGAGCAGGACAGCCACGCCCACTCGGGGGCGGGATCTGAGGTGAGAGGGGCCCGAAAGGGAGGGGGTGGAAAAGTGGGGCTGTAACCACTGGCTCGCCAGTTCCGCGCTGGTGGCCAAGGCCTTTAGAGCCGCTCTTGTCCGCGTGCGTCCAGGTTGTGTAAAGAACGCCAGAGCTGCCCCCGCCCGTACCCCGTAAAAATGTAAAATATGAAGAAACACAAGAACATCCGAACCACTTTGGACTCCTTGGAGTTCGCAGCAAGCTGCTTCACTGAGCTTGGGACGCAGGTTCTCACGCTTAAGGAAGAAGGCGGGACAGCTCTACCAGAAAGCGACTCGCTATTGTCGCTGGGGCAGAAGATCTTCCAGGCTGTAGCAACAGGTTCTCTGGACTCTTCCAAGCAACCTGGGCCACCCACTCCCCCGGGGTGGGGTGGGGGGGCGTTTCTGCAGTACTAAGTGTGTCCATACCCATCTTTAGTCGTTTATGAGGCCCCTAGGCTTGGGGAAAGCCTTCAGCCATCCCAACCCACAGAGGATGCAGTATAGCAGGTAAGAACACACAAGTGCAGGACGTTATACACACATAGTACCATAGTACACACAGTTATATGTGCCAGGCGCTTTGGGGAAGAGTGTCCATACGTCTCTCATTAGGTGACCCAGGCAAGTTTCCCGCGGAGTAGGTTGTATTAACAACCCCCTTTCTGCCAGAGTGTTAGATCTAATGGAGTTTAGGCCGGATGACCTTCAATTGGCTCATAAAGACTTTGCGAATGATGATTCTGTAGTTTCTAAATACAAGCCAGCTGGTTCCTAAGATCTTGGAGAAACCCATTTTATTACTTTCGGTGGCAGCTTAGGGCCTTCTTCTTGGGAAGTTCCAGGTAAGGACAGTGGCAGACACCCTGGACAGCAAACTACACTGATTGCCGTTTCCTTGCTCAGACGGTCCTGCCTTCTCCGCTGACTGGAGCACCTGTAAGCAGTGTGTCAGTGTCTGTCTTCCACAGACACCCACACAGCCATTTCCATCTCCACAGCAGTCAGAAACTGCAGGTCTCCAGCAGGAAACCCGACTTTATTTCCTAGGGACTAGACCATTCCCTGTGTCTTTATTATTCAACCTTCTGTCCCTTGTTCCCTTTCCAGAGCCAGTTCCACTGTCTCCTGAAACCCAAGGAGAAGAGCATACACAATAATCTTCTTCTAGGGACAGTTATGGGCTAGCAAGTGTGAGCAGGCCAGAGCCACAAAAGAAAAAATGCACTGTTAATGTCTCCCTGACAAATACCAAACACCAACAGTCCAGCAACAGAACTGCTTGCTCGTGTGATCATGTTTTACTCCAATAGCTTAGGTGAAAATAATTTGGGTGTGGTAACGTTTGTAATCCCCCAAAGAAAGACCACGCATATCCATCTATTCTAACAATATAAAACACCATTATCGTATGTGCTAGTTTCTGTCAAATATTTCCTGTTAATGCTGTAGCATTATCTACAATTTGCAATATTTTTGCTTTTAATTTTTTGAGACAGGGTATCATGTAGCCCCAGCTGGCCTCCAAAGTGCTGGGATTTCAGGCATGTACCACCACATCCAGCTTCCTTCTCGTTTTTAAAAATGCTCATATGCATTGTTGTAGATGGAAGTTTCTGGCCTGCCCCGTCCCACAGCCATGCAGTCCCAAATAAACACACAGAAGCTTATATTAATTATAAACTGTCTGGCCTATTGTTCAGGCTTATTACTCACTATCTCTTACAACTTAAATTAACCCATAATTCTTGTCAATGTTTAGCCACGTGGCTTGGTATCTTTTCTCAGCATGGCTTTCTTATCTTGCATCCTCTACATCTGGGTGACGACTGCGTCTCTTCCTTTCCTCCTTCCAGTATTCTCCTTGTCTGGTTGTCCCACCTATACTTCCTACCTGGCTACTGGCCAAGCAGCATTTTACCAAACCAATATGAGTGACAAATCTTTACAGTGTACAAGAGCACTATCCTGAGCCTGGCGGTGGTGGCACACACCTTTAATCCCAGCACTCGGGAGGCAGAGGCAGGCGGATCTCTGTGAGTTCAAGGCCAGCCTGGTCTACAGAGCGAGTTCCACATCATCAGGCTCCAAAGCTACAGAGAAACCCCATCTCGGAAAACAAAAAAAATCTAGCGTTGTAAAAATGTTGATAGATGTACTTTTTTAAAGACTGATAATGTGGACAGGGTATCTGTATGCATATGCACACCGTGGAATACTATGCAAACCTGTTCATGCACATAGAGGCTAGGGCCTCAGGTGCACTCCTCCAGCGCTCTGTCTTCATCTAAGGCAGGGTCTCTCCTTGAGCTTGCAGTTTGTATTTCTTCTTTTTTAATTATTATGTATACAGTGTTCTGTCTGTATGTATGCCTGCACACCGGAAGAGGGTACCAGATCTCATTATAGACAGTTGTATGTCACCATGTGGTTGCTGGGAATTGAACTCAGGACCTCTAGAAGAACAGCCAGTGCTTTTAACCTCTGAGCCATCTCTACAGCCCAAAATACACATTTTTTTTTTTCAAAACAAGATTTCTCTGTAGCTTTGGAGCCTGTCCTGGAGCTAACTAGCTCTTGTAGACCAGGCTGGCCTTGAACTCACAGAGATCCGCCTGCCTCTGTCTTCCGAGTGCTGGGATTAAAGGCGTGCGCCACCACCTCCAGCTCTGAGTTTGCAATTCTTGATTTGCCTGGTAGCCTGCACACCCCAGCACCGATTGTGCCTCTGTGCTCCTCGGAGCTGGGGTACAGCCATGGACCAGCCACCCAGCTTCTTCCCTGAGGTCTGGCATGTGAACTCTGACCCTCACCAAGCCCAGCAAGCACTCTTAACCAGTGATTCATCTCTTTTCAATCCCCAGGGTCCTCTATGGTTTTAAATTTTTATTTATTTTTTATGGGCATGGCTGTTTTGCCTGCCTGTGTGTTCATCTGTCCCCTGCATGTGTGCAGTCCCATGGGGACCAGAAGAGGACATTGGCCCCCCTGGAACTGGAGTTATAGAAGGTTATGAGCCACCATGTGGGTGCTAGGAATTGTCCCTAGGTTCTCTGGAAGAGCAGCCAGTGCTCTTAAACGCGGAGCCATCTATCTCTCCAGCCCTCCACCGGAGCACATATTGTCAGAAACAGTTCAGGTTTAAAATCAAAGTCCCCTCCTGTGAGAGAAAGTACGCTTTATTACCCTCTTATTTCTTATGGAGGGTCTCTGGCTAGATTTAGAATTTCAATCAATACAGAAATTGGTTTTAGCCGGGTAGTGGTGGCTCACGCCTTTAATCCCAGCACTCAGGAGGCAGAGACAGGAGGATCTTTGTGAGTTCGAGGCCAGCCTGGTCTACAAGAGCTAGTTCCAGGACAGGCTCCAAAACTACAGAGAAACTCTGCCTTGGTTTTTGTTAGCTTCCCGTGTGCCTGTGCCTGAAGGCCTTCACAAGAGAGTGAAGTCTGAAGAAATATTATTCTCAATTGGGAATATCCGTATCTCAAAGAACGATATTGGCATTTCTTAAGCTAGAGCAATGCTTTGTGAAGCAAGTGGACAATGAACCTAGTGTGTCTTGACCCCTTGGGGAGGGGGGTCACGTATCAGCTATCCTGTATATCAGATATCTAGATTATGATTCATAACAGTGGCAAAATTATGAAGTAGCAACAAAAGTAATTTTGTGGTTGGGGGTCACCACAGCATGAGGAACTGTATTAAGGGGTCGCAGCCTTAGGAAGGTTGAGAACCCCTGTTCTAGGACTGCTGCTTAGAGAAATATGGGACAGAATGATGTAGGCACTGGTAGACGATGTGTCTTACACAAAGCGCATCTTTATTTGAGTTCACGTCACTGGATTTGCGTGCTCTAAGCTGTTTTCTAGTCTTGGTCTGTATAGAACATCTTTCTCCCACCAAAACTCTTTGTTTTTTGTGTCTATGGTGCTGGGGACAGAATCCAGGACCCGAGCATGCTAGGTACACCCCCTTCTCTAACTCAAGCTATCCCCGAAGAATCCCTATGGCTGGTTGCATATGGGGAAAGGCTTGCTGCCTATAGGGGAAAGGACCAAATGACCCTTTATAACGGTACAGAGCCGTAAGTGATTTCAACTTGAAATGATCAATACACCAGCTCCGCGTTTTCTGCCTTAATGCTTCCATCTCCTTAACGCCTTCTCATTACAGACACGGTGTGAGCCATTAGCTGTGGATGAGTGGCAGAGAAAACTAAAGTCAGAGAATCCTCCAGTGACACCAGTGCTGATCTGCTGACCGCTATCAAAATTTCTCTGATGATTACACTTTTCCGATAACTATAATGTACTCATTTAACATCAGTAGCTATTGTCAGGCAATCCATTTTAAGAGTGAGTTCCATTAATACTGTGGGGCTCTGGCAACCATCCTCCGGTTTGGTACTCAATTCTGCTATCCTGTAGACAGTTTTCAGGGGTGGGGGATGGGCGGCAACAGGAACAAAGCCCGGCTCAGTTCTATGGCAAGTTTCCTTATAGTATCTTTGGTCTAAATATGAGTCACTGATAGAGAGCCACAAGAGCAGGTTCTGGAGAGCCACCGTGCAAGCGAGTCAATGTGCCCATATCTTCAGTTTTGCAACAGTATTTACCTAAGCAAATATCTGATGGGAAGGACCCAGCTCCTCTGGTTCCACGAGTGAAATTTATCAGATCACGGAATCTTTGTTGGGAAAAAAACAAAACAAAACTGTAGGCGCCTGAGTAAGTGAAGCAAGAAGTGCCCAACCAAGGATGAAATTCTCAGTATTTTCCTGTTTGGCCAGAGCACTGCTCAGCTCGGTTGGCTTAGGCTGGCGATTCCCAAGGTCAGACCAGCAACAGCGGCAGCAGC